CAAATAAATAGGATTCATATAATTTCACCAGACACACTGAATGTGGAAAGACAAAGGAAGAAAACAAAAAGCCATTCATAATACCTTCAAACTTACGTTGCGCAGAAGAGAACACGTTAGCCAAGGTGAGTGTCATATCAACATGACGCCTGAGTGGGATGGGGAATCTGATCTTCCTCATCAGACATTTATGCTGATTTGTTAGATGCCAACACAGTTTCCTCTTTGGACTTGCTTCTAATAATTACGGAACAGTTTAGGCTCTACCAAAAGCAGACTAAATATTTTCCCCTGCCTCCAAATCTCTGGACTGAATGTCCCCACAAGAAGGACATGATTATATTTCACAGGAAACTCTTCCTGAGAAACAACAGGCTTTTTGAGGGCAGAACTACTGGTCCCACAGGGAGGGCTGGAGGAGGGATTGAGGGGACACTGGAAATACAGGAGGAGTCAGTTCAGATAGTGCTGCTCAAGTTGCCAAAGACATCCTACCAAAAGTTTCATGAGTGAAGGAGCCTGTGAACACTGAGCAGGTTATTAATGCACAGCAGTACATAACTAGCATCACAAGTCCATTGTAGCATGTTTTGATATTTGGAAAATAATTAGCCCATTGCTCTTTGAAAATGCAGCAGTAGAAATAGAAATAATAAACACTGAGCTTTCTTGGAGATAACAAACAATAAAAAATTCTAAATCTGCAGGATTCCTTGACAATATGCAAGCGATGAGCTAGATGTGTGCTGCAGATACCTCTTACTGCAGGGCTCACTCCTGCAAAGCACAGAACTAGTTTTCTCAGCAGACAGAGGGAACCAAGTCAAGATTTCTAATCTTGAGAGATTTACTATATGGCAGGAAAGATCAGACAAGTAAATACAGCTAAATATGAATAAATGCAATCAAATATTATGAAGTGTGCATGGAGCACAGAAGAAGAAAAATTCCTTTCACCTGGGATCTAGAGAAACTTCTTCAGAAAATGTAGTTTTGAAGATGGCAAAAGACATGGGTGGAAATTTGACAGAACAGGACGTAAGGAATTTAAAAACTAATTCTAACATTCATATAAAATGCAAAAAATCGCAAATATCCAAAACAACTTTGAATAAGAAAAATTTTGAAGACTTACAATATCTGATTTTCAGACTTTTTAAAATTAAGCTACAGTAATCAGAAAGTATGGTATTGTTGTAAAACAGGAAAATAGAATAATGGAACAGAATAGAATTTTCCGAACTAAACCAACACTTAGATGGACAATTGAATCTCAGTAAGGATGCAGTGGAGAAAGGATCTTTTCAACAAGTCGTGCTGGAACAATTAGACACCCACATGCAAAAAGAGAAAAACGAACTTTGACCCACACCTCACAAAATACAGAAAAATTAATTCAAAATGGATCATAGATCTTAATAGGCAATCCAAAACTATAAAACAGCTAGGAGGAAAAGCATAGGCTTAAGCAATGTGACTTTGGGTTTGGCAAACATTTCTTTGCTATGACACCAAAAGTATAATCTTTACAGTTACTTTTAAAAAGTAACTGATAGAGTGAACTTTATCAAAATGAAGACTCTTCAAAGCTCTTCAAAACACTGTTAAGCAAATTAAAAGACAAGCCATAGAGAGAAACTAATTGCGCCAGCTTACCGCCCCCTGACCGCACCGCGCCCGCCCCCAGCAGCAAGCTCACCTGGAGACGGGCGTCTGGCTTCTCGGGCAGCAGAGGCCGCCCCCAGGCCACGCCGAGGGGTGGAGCGGAGCAAACTGCCGGCTCCCGGGCTGCGGGCCCCCTACCCACGTCGCCCCCGCACCGTAATTGCACTGCCCCGCTCTCCTCCTCAGCAAGCTGAGTGGGACAGGTGTGTCAGGCCACCTGAAGCAGCAGAGGTCGCTT